TTGGTTAGTCTACAGTGTCCTAAAAGGAGAAATACGGAAGAGGACATCCTGGAACCGGAAAATAATCAAGGCACTGACACGGGACCCACACCCGTCATCCTCTGATCCTCCAGTCCATGACAACGTTCACGTCAATCCTGGATTTGAAGAACATCATGTATAAACTTAGAAACTAAAGACTGTATCAAGTGAAAGTATTTGCACTTATGATGAAGTGAGAATACTTTCAAAGGGGGGAAAATGATAGTAAAAGGGTTTTAAAATCATGGGGATTAAGGGTTAAAAGGAAAAATAAGCTTAGTAGGCCCTGGAAAAATAAACATCCTAAGCACATGGAGAACTCGTACTTGCTAGAACTGCACTGTGTAGCTAGTACATGATAATTGATATAAGTGCCAGATGTGACGTTTGCTTAGTAATTAAATATAATTACAGTTTAATCAAAAAGAATAATCCTGAGAAACTGTGGTCAGGGACCTAAGAAAGATCACGATAAACTCATGTCAATGTATACCATAGAACAATACAAGTTTAATAATTAATGTGTAAGTTCTATAACGATAGAATATAAGATACGTTCAGCTCGAAAGCCATGTCGGAGTCAGATTTGGGTTTGTACCCCGACTCCCAGAGCTCTTAATAAAAGCACCTGCATCTAATCATATCCCGCGATTATGTGTGTTTCCGAACGCTAACAGCAGGAGACTTCGACCTAGCCAGAACCTCGGTGAGAGGTGCTGGAGCACAGAGGGAGCAAAGCCTTTGGACAGGTGTGCCAGCTCCCTCAGAGCTGCTGGTGTCAGCGAACATGCTCCTCCTTGAGGATGCAGATGGCCAGGAAATGCCCAGAATTAAAAAAGGGAATCCAGCTCCCTTCCAGAAGATTTTCCCAGAGGCAAGTGTCCCAGCATCAAGTGTCCTGGAGCTGTCAGTTCCCAGTCCATGTTTCCCAGGATGCTGTGGCGGTGCCAGAGAGGAAGATGCTCAGCACAGTGCAAGAGAAGATCCTCCAGCTGCAAAGGCAAATGTTCCCACCTCCAGAGAATTGTCTGCCATCAGCAGTGCAGGAGCAGAAAGTGGAAGATCTTGAGACTTGGCATATATCTGGCAAGGGCCTCAATCCCTCCCAGTGCCTCAGGGAGAGCTGCCGGACTGCAGAGGGAGGAAGCCCTTTGGAAAGGTGTGCCTGCTCCCTCAGAGCTGTGCGTATCAGCAGGACCTGCTCATCCCCGAAGATGCAGCTGTCCAGGAAATGCCTGGAAGTACAAAGGGGAGCCCAGCCCTCTTCAAGATGTTCCTAGAGGCATAGGCCCCAGCAGTGTCTTGGTGCCACCAGTTGTCAGCCCATGGCTTCCACAGAGCTGTGACTGTTCCAGTGGGGAACACCCCATGCTTGGCAGCAGAGGTGATCCATTGTGAAACCAAGGAAGTTCCTTCTATCAAGGGAGCTCCATGGAGATGGCCTCCGCCTTCCAGGAATTTGTTCAAGGAAGGAGGTCAGATCTTCTTAGGAATATTGGTGTTAAATAAATCAAGATTTTCCCAGAGAACGGTCTGTGTGTTCCCACTCTTCTGGGTTTGACTGGGATTCCTTTCTTCCCAGAAACTGGCACAGTGCTGGGTTTGGATGCTGGATGGGAATGCTGTGGATCACAGGTGGAGAGTTTGGTTGTTGCTAAGCACAGCTTGTCCACCTCAAGGACTCTGCAGGGTCCCAGAAGCCACTCCATGTCCCACGCTCTGCCCGCGAGGAGGTGACAGAGAGCCTGGAGGGAGCATGTCCAGACAGCCAAGCCGGACTGCGCAGAGGGATGTTCCAGAGCACAGCGTGTCCTGCTGAGTCTGACAGCTGAGGAAGCTGGTCAGGAGAGGCTGATCACTGGTGGGATTGATGGGGCATGAGGCAGAGGGTGCTGAGCACTTTTGTTGGGCATTACTGCTCAATCCTGGGCTTTGATCCTCTGGCTCATTTCTCCCCAGCTTCTTCCTCCTTCTTGTTTGTATTCAGCTTCCTGGTTTTCTTCTCCTCCTTCTCCAGGTCTTCTTCTCAGTCTTTCTTATCTTTTTTTCCTTTGTTTGTTTTTAATTCTCTTTTTTCCCTTTTTCTTTCTTTAGCTTTTTTTGTCCTTTTTTTCCTGCCCCACTGCTGGAGGCTGAGCTCGCCAGAGTATGTCTATGCGTCCTAGAGCCCCTTTTGGCATCTGTATATCCCTGAACATCTCCATCGGATGCTGCCTTCCCCTGGGACGGTCCTTGTCTATAACAATGTGTGAAATGAAACTATAGAGATGATTTGAAAAAGGGATATTTTAATGAAAGCGTTGCCCTTATAGTTCTCATAGAGACCCCAAAAAAACCAGTTGTCTTTCAGATTCTCATGGCATTATTCAGTAAATTATATTAAATACATACACCCTAATAAATGAGCCTAGGGCGAAGCATTAATTTAGGCTACGGTGGTTATTCTACGGTAACTTCTCCTGTGCGCAGTCATCCAAGCCTCTGACTCTGGCAAAAGACTGACAGTCCAGAAGAAAGCACTCATCTTCCAACGGGAGACTTCCCACTCAGAGAAGTCTTCCCAGAAGTGTTATTTCAGGTCATGTTTTCTCCAGACAAGCAGTGCTTTGTTCTCTGGATCTCAGAAAATGCTACCACAGCTGGAAATACCCACAGATTAGCAGTTAGGGCTTGCAAGCAGCACTACCTGATGGCCCAGTGCAGGGGCGTAGAATTCAAATCCCCACCCAGCTGATCCACTACCGCACCTTTGGAAATGTAGTATCTGGGTAACAACAACACAATCAGGCAATAACACAATATAATAACACAAAAAAATAGCACAAGATTATTCTAAAGATAACACAGCTAAAGGAGTAAATGACTCTTAATAAAAATTTCACGTTACCGCTTGCAATTAGTCCTTGTACAGAGGACTCAATGGCTCTGGGCCTGTGGTCACCAACATCCCCATCGGGGCTGTGGAGACACAGGGACCTCCAGCTCCTGGGGAGGAAATGTGCCATGGCCCTTGGACAATCGGCAATCACCACTCACAGGTCACAGGAAAAGGGATAATTACCACTCCCAGCTCAGGCTGCAGACGATGGCTGACACACAGAGCTCTCGCCATCCCGTCACAGTGGGGTCCTGGCTGGAAGGATCACGGCTCAAGTCAGGTCTTCAGGTACACACTGGGAGAGCCATTCAGGGCACATGAGCACCAGCAGCCCGCATAAAAGGGAAGAAAACTGAAAGAGCAGGCACATTTCTGAAAAGAAACCCCCACATTTATTTCCCAAACCCTGTTTTGGGAGGGGTCAGGGCAGTAGGCAGAAGGTGGCACGGTTTTAGTAGATGGCACCTGCCCACAGGCAGGCAGTTGGGTGCTTTCCTGTGACTGGTTGCTGCACTTTCCATTACCATTGGTTGTTTTTAAGGCAGCAGAAGATATGTTTGGGGGGTAAAATGAGACCAGCACCGTGGGAATGACTCCGGCATCTCAACATTTCCCGTGGGCTCCCATTTCATAGGAAGAAAAAAAAAAAAGAGTTCAGCAGGGCTCAAGCTGAAATGATATTTTGTAGCTTCTGGCTCTCCTCAGAGCTCTGGTAAGAGAGGAACGTCTCTGTCCCTGAAACCAAATAACCCTTGGAATGCACACATGGACCTGTGCCTTGCTTCAAGAGACACCAAGAAGCCCTGCCACTTTGAAAGGGCAGCTGTTGTTTCACTGCTGCATTTCTTGGCTCGGCAAAGCCCCTCCTAGCCGCACTAGGGCCTGAGCTTGAAGATCTAAAGTACCACCCTGGAGGACAGGCATGGAAAGCTTGAGAAAGGCTGAAGGCAGCACTCTGATTCCCCCTTTAGCCAAGACGTTTCTTTAGCTGAAGTTGCTGACAAGGACCAGCCTTGACACACCACAATGGCTTGGTTGTTTTATTTCTCAGGTCCTCAGTCCTGTGTGGTGAAGCGTTCCCGGGTCTCCCAGACCGCTCCGGATAGCTGCAGGTCCGGGACCTCGGGAAACGCTTGATGGTAGTAAAGAGATGAGTCTTCCACCGGGCGAGAGTCTCTCAGGAGGCTTTTATTCTGAGGGCTTCGGTGAGGGAAGGCGAGGGTGGTGAAGGGACACAGCCACTCAGAGGGCGAGCCAGCTCTGAGAGCCCCGAACCAGGGGCGGGGCAGGGTTGATAACAGCTACAGGGAAGGAGGGTCAGGGTACGGAGCATCCAGCCGGGTGAGGGTATGAGGGCGGAGTCAAGCAGGAGTGACACGGCAACGGCCAACTGGGATAGAGGGAAGGAGTGGTTTCGGGGGAGGAACCAATGGGGGGGTACAAAGAATGTCTTGTCCACGGGGTCAGCAGCCGAGGGGTTTTCAGTCTTTAGATCTTTCACTTGCTCGCGGATTTGCTTGATGTGGGCCTGGATGGATGTGCTGCGAGATGATAGGTTGAAACAGCACAACCCGTCAAAGTCCTCGCAGCTGTGGCCATGGGCTAAGAGCAAAAAGTCTATGGCAGCCCGATTTTGTAGGGTTGCATGCCTGGTGGTCTGTTCGTCCGCCAAAAGGTCTGAGAGGGCGGCAGACGTAGCGTTGGCATTCTTGTTAACCCAACACTACAGGTGAGAAAGCTCACCAAGGGCTTTTGCTGCTGCATACCACGGAAGGAAGATGGATGCAGCGATTCTCTTTGTTTTGCCCCAATTATAAAGCTCCGAATCACAATTTGAGTCGAATTGATTGTAAGATCGTTTTTTGCGTGCCAATTGTTTTTCCTTCCTCCATTCTAAAATTTGGGTTTTATTTGGGGTGAGGGTAGCAAGCTTGCCAAGGCTACATGGTCCTCCCTGGAGCCGAGATGGAATGCCTGACCACACTCTGTCCCCACAGATAAGAAACATCCCCTTGGGCAACACCTTAGGACGCGTGGACGAGACCGAAATGACCTGGCTGGTGTAATTGCACCAGGTCTGGACTGTTGTATTTTTATGCCACGGCGACGGCCAGCTGGGCGCAGTGGGGCGATTTCTGGTGTTTCTCCCGGGTAGTTGTCACTTGGGCAGCCATCCTCATTCTATTAAAATAAAAGGAACTGTAAATAACAAAGGATTTGGTTCCCTCCCCTCCCCTCCCAGCTCCCCCTTTGAGTTTAAATAGAAATTTAGGGTAGAGGGGCATAGGGAAAACGGGTAAGGTAAGGGGGTAAGGGAAAGGTAACTGGAGGGGATGGGTTATTTTGGGGTGTCGAGTCCAGAGGTGGGTAGTAAAGTCTGGTGATGAGGACTCGGGACACCAAGTTGGGACGGCTCCCGGTCCTCTTCATTCGTCGTCTCTTCCACGCGACTGCGTCGTCTGGTGTTGTGGGAGACGCAGTCTGTGGGTCCTGTCGCGTTGGTGCTTCTGCCGCTGGGGCATCTTCTAAGAAGGGCTTCACATATTTCCCCGGAATCCACTTTGGTCCATGAGCTGTTGAGACACAGGCATACCCTCTCCCCCAGGTTATTAGGGGAAAAGGCCCTGTGATGGCTCGGGATTCCGGGTCACGGACAAGGACCGGTGGGCGCTCCTTCAAAAGCGCTCGCGTGCTGTTAGTAAAGTGTCTGATGACGGGCGGGTCTGGCTCCCGGTCGGTGCAATTTAAAAAATTCAGCACATAAAGTGCTTTACAGAGTCTCTCGACCGGAGTCATCGCCAGCGCCGCATCGTGTTGTTGGTCGAGACACCTTTTGAGTTCTTTGTGGGAGCGCTCCACTCTGGCCTGTCCTGTTGGGTTTTTTGTCCTGAGGGAGTTTTGCCGTCTGGGATCTTCAACAGCGCGGCACGGCCAGCCTCTCGGATGTCATCGAGGAGCGGTGTTGGAAGGAGGACTTGGTAAGTGGGTGCTGCAGAGGCTCCGGCAAGGCATCAAAAACGCCGGCCCCGCACCCAAGGGTGGCATGAGACCTCCTCCAGCTCCGGCCTGTCCGCAGGCTGCTTGGCCAAACACCATCGGATCAGGTGCTGGAGCTCTGGGGAGAGAAGCCAGAAAGCGTCGGTCACCGGCAGAGTCTCCTGCCCAGCTGCCCCCGTCACCCGCAGGGCCCGGGCCGTGCCAGGCTGGGCTCTAGGCCGTGCCGGACTCCCAACCGGCTCTGCCCCGCGTGGAAGAGCGGCACGGCGGGACGCGGCCGCCTCCTCCGGCCGCCCGTGCCGCGCTGACCCCGTCGAGCTGCGTGAGGGCCGCGCCGGGCTGCGTGCCGCCACCTGCCAAAGCCCTCCGTCTTGAGGCCGGACACCCACCTGGAGAGACCTGCCGCTGGAAGAAGACCTTCCCCAGCACAATGTCAGGGTCGTCCTGGAAGGGGAGGCTGCCGCAGACCATGACGTACAGCAGAACGCCCAGGGACCAGATGGTGGCCGCGTGGCCGTGGTAGTAACCCAGCCAGATCCACTCGGGCGGGCTGTACGCGTCCGTTCCTAGGGGAGACAGGCGGCGCTGGCTGGGCGCAGGCTGCTGCCTTCCAGAGCCTGGCACCAGCCCCCTGGCCGAGGCAGGGGCTGCACCCGTGGCCACAGCTTCTCCCCGAGGCCACCCCGCGTCCCCCAGCCAGCTGCCCAAAAGCAAGGAACCATTCCGCAAGGCCAAGAAGGCCAGCGGAGCAGCCCAGGCCCTTGTGGGCCCGCTGAGCCCCAGGGCCAGGAGCCGCTTTTGCCACCCCCTCTGTCGGCAGGGCCGGCAGCCGGCTCCTGGGGCACGGCATCCGCCCCGTGCCAGAGGGCAGCCGGCTGAAGGCCGCAGCCCGCGGCCCAGGAGGGAACGGGGCCGTGCAGTGCCTGGCACCAAGAGCAGGGCTCAGGCCATGGGCTCACCGGCAAACCCCGAGAAGGCCCGCTCCTGGAGGAAGGTGCCACAACCGAAGTCGATGAGCTTCAGGTCGCCACTCTCCGGGTCCACGAGGAGGTTCTCTGGCTTGATGTCCCGGTGCAGGACGCCGCAGGCGGTGCAGTGCCGCACGGCCTCCAGCACCTGGCAGAAAAGCCAGCGCGCCTGCTCCTCGCACAGGCACCCCTGCTCCTTCAGGAACTGCAGGAGATCCTGCGATGCCTGCGGACGCTCCAGGACCAGCACGAAGCTGTCGGGCAGCTCAAACCAGTCGAGGAGCTGGATGATGTTGTGGCAGCCAGAGCCCACCTTCTCCATGAGCGCCACCTCCATGGGCACGCGGGTGCCGTCGGGCTGTGAGGAGGAGAAAATCAGTGCCTCTGGCAGGCTGCTGCTGCTGCTGCTGCTGCTGCTGCTGCCCTGGGGCCGCGCTGCGCCCTGCCCGGGATGCCCCAGTGCCCCCTGGCGCAGCCTCCCTGGCGCTTGCGCTTCCTCCAGCCCGAGGGATGCTCGGGGGTGCCCCTGCCCGGCCCCAGCACCGCTGTTTGGCGTGCCCAGGCCCGCGGGGCCGCGGCTCCGCACGCTGAGCCCGCCCCGGGATTCTCCCTGCCCGCCACGCCCCGCTGTGTCCCGCTGGCCCCGCTCGCTCACCAGCTCGTCCCACTGCGGGACGCTCTCCCGGGCCACGCGTTTGAGGGCCACCTGCGAGCCATGGAGAGAGGAGGGCTGAGCTCCAGCCCTGCCCCTCCCCGCCGCTGCCCCTCCTCCCACGCCCGGCCGTCGCGGCCACTCACCGGGCTCCCGTCCGAGAGGCGGATGCCCGAGAAGACGGTGCCGAAGCCGCCGCTGCCCAGCTGCGGGCCCCAGAGGTACTGCTCCTGCCGCTGCCTCTTGTGCCCTGCGGCCAAGAGCGAGCCATCAGCCTTGCGCCCAGGAACCCCCCGCAAGTGCCCGCGAGTGGAGCGGGCCGGGCCCCCGCGGGCCGCCGCGCTCTCACCCGCTTCCTGCTGCGCGCCGGGCAGCGGCCACCGCCCTGCAGCCGCCGGGCTGGCGAGCGGCAGAGCCGGGCCGGGGCAGCGCGCACAGGCGGCTGCGGCAGCCCCGGGCCAGCGGGGCAGGGCGGCACCGTCGCTGTCCCCGGCGTCGTGGGCTGGACTCTGCTCCTGACGACGGCCGGGGCTGCAGCCCGAGGCTTGGCACAGGGGGATCCCAGGAGCAGCTGCAAAGCAGACAGGGCTTTTTCAAGCCGTGCCATCGGAGGCACTGGAAACAGCCAGCGACTAGGCTGCTGTCAGGGGCCCTGGCCTGGCCTGGCCGTGCCCCTCCAGAGCCCCGGGGGAGCCTCAGGCAGCTCCTCAGGAGATCTCACCTGCTACTAGAAAGCTCTTCGCGGCACTCAAGGGCTGTCTCGGGGCAGCTTCCTGCAGATGGAGGAACCTCCGTGGTGTCTGGAGGACCATCTCCACCGCCAGGCTCGGGCTGTGGCCAGCTGGCAGAACCGGCACAGCGTCCTGGCTGTCCTGGCCGCTGTGGGATGACCACTGCTGGCTCCAGGACGCTTGCTGCCCCGCCAGCTGCTCCTGAGCAGGCTCCCCTGCATCGGGCTGGGCTCCCATTTGGACTTGTGGGCTTTCCCCTGCCACGTCAAGGCTCAGGATTGCGCCCACGTTGTTGAAGTCTGTGAGTCCAAGGGAGCTGGGAGACCTGTCCACGGGCTCTGCTCCTTCCGCAGGCTGACAGGTCTCACTGAGCCTCTGTGAGGGATGGCGGCTGTCAGAGATAGCAGAGGCTCTTGGCGGGGTGCAGGGCCTCTGACAGCCTGAGTTTCCTGCATGGATGGTGGTGGCTCCCCCATGCTGTGCCATCCTTGCAGGCCTTGAGGCTCTCCCAGGGCTGGAGAATCTTGCTGGGAGCAGCCTCTGGAAGGGATGGAGGCTTCTGGAGAAGCTGGCCAAGCCACAGCAGGGCAGGTGGCCTCGCTTCAGCAGCTCCTCCAGTTCTTTCCACAAGGCCTGCCACATCCCAGAGTAGAGCGGCGCACGTGTCCCGTTGCCATCCCAGATCTGCAGCATCAGTTCCTGCAGCTCCCGGGCCACTGCCAGGCAGGGGCCACAGCTGCAGGGGCTGCCCAGGGGGCTGGCGGGAGCACGTGGCCGCTTGCCAGGAGTCGCCCGAGGCCTGGGGAACCTGGGAGTCGCAGGGGCTCCTCGCTTCCTCCGTGAGCCTCTGGGCCGGACCCAGCAGCGCTTCCTCAGCTTCACTCTTTGTGTCTGCCGGCTCTGTGGTTGCCAGTGGCCAAAGGCCCACCAGACAGCCACGGCGGCCAGCAGCAGGACAAACGCAGCCATCAGGACGTCACCGTCACCCATGGCTCCGGCAGGTCCCATCGTGACTGCACTGGCAGCTGTGGGTGCTGGCCCGTCTCACACAGCGACAGCGCGCTGATGTCACAGCGATGTCACAGTGCTGCGGCCAGCACAGCCCTGGGACATCACAGCCCTGCCTGACGCCAGCACTCTGCCCCTTTGTGCCATCACAGCCCTGCCTCGGCCCCGCCCTCCGCAGTGCCCCAGGAGGGATAAAGGGGCTCCCTATGGGCACTTGCAAGACCCAGCTCTTTGCCGCTTCCCCGGGAAGAAAATGGATCCTATCCCATTGAAAGCCAGTACATTAGCCCATTCTTCACCCAGCACACCCTGTCTCTATTTGTCTCACAGCTGGACACCTGCACCAGGTGTATTCTGCGAGGGACAGGATCAAAACTCCACTTAAAACCCTGAAATAGAATCTGCATTGCCTTCCCATCGTCCATGAGACCGGGTGACCTTCTGTTAGGGTGTGGGATTCCTTAAAATCAGAGGGTTTTGGGCACGTTGTAAAAGTCAGACCTCAGAGACAGCAGGATGGTGATTTAGAGCTAAGCAGTAGCTATAAGATTGGTCAGCAGAAAAATTATACAAGAAGTAGAAAGAAAGAACAAATAGAACTATGGTCTGTGTATTAACGTCTGGGTAGAATAACTTCCTACGTTGCAGAAAAGTATATCTGGTGAGATATTAGGAAGTTCTAAGATTAATAATGGAGCTATGTGCATTGTATCTTAAGGCTTACAGGCAAGTATTGTATTTGAAATAAGCAAGCATTGTTTTAACCAAAGGTATGTGTATTTATAGTGATTGGCTAGAACTACTGTCAATATGCTTTTGCTTTGTGTGATTGGTCATAAAGTTTATAAAGTAAGTTGTAACATGAAGTTCTTGGTCTGTTGCTTGGGAATGTGAGCTGCTGGCATCTTCCCATTGTCATAACCATGTAATGAGACTGATGCTAAAAAATAAACAGCTTAAGTCGCATACCACAGCAGTCCTGTCCAGTTTGTGACTTGTATAGAGCCCCCGGCCGGCGATAATATAGCATTCAATATTTTTATACAGCATGACTTCTCATTACCTAATAAAATGATTTGTAGAAATGAATTGGAAAACAGGAAATAAACCAAGAAAAATATTCAAGCTATAAAAGATGTGAGTTTTCTCTCACAGGTCAAGATTTTCTTTGTATTTCAGATGAAAAATATTAGGAAGCTAAATGGTCACCCATTCTTTTAAAAAGTATCTGGATATCCAAGAGATATAAATTTCGGCAGGACTTGTATGTCAGGTATTCCTGAAAACCTTGATTTCACTGCTGCCCGACCTTGATTCAATCCACTTAAATGCAGCTGTATTCCAGGTGCTCAGTGAAATTCTCCATGGAATGCATATTGTTTAGAAATCATCTGCAGAAAAAGCTAGATACATCTGAAGATCTTTTTTTGGGAATGGCATTTCAGTTCTTTGTACAAACACACAGATGGGATTTCTGCTGTCTTCTTCAGGCCACTTCCTCCAGAGACCTCTCTATTAAATCTCTCTAGTTCTACCCTTCTGGTGATCCAAAGTCAGCACTGGCATTGTCCAACTGCGTGGAATTACTGCATGCTACAGCCGCGCACTGAGGGCTTCTGTGTGCAGCATCATGTAAGCCGTCCTAATGTCACCCTGTTGCTATCAACTCAGCTAGCTCAGCTGGCTGACAGTTGGATCTTAAGGGACAAGAATGTGCCCTGATTTTGGAATACAAATGAGGTACTAAGAAGGAGGCTGGAGGATTTCAATATTTCTGCCTCCAGCTTAAGCAACACTAAATCTTGGTCTTTATCTGAGAAATTATGTGAATTAACCCATTTGGCATTCATATGCCAAAAATGCGAGTAATACCCTAAGAACTGTCAAAAATGGAATAAATCCAATCATCACTTTATTAAAAGAATTCACTTGAAGAAGTCAGGGAGAAGGACTAATCATGCAAATGTCCTTCCCTGAGAATCATTCTGTATATTTGCACAGCTCTCTTCTTATATTCCCATCTAATGCATTGGACATGTCTACTTGCGATGAGACAAATTCTTGCAAAGCTTACCAGATAAACCACGTGTTCTATTCAAGCAGCAAAAGATTTCTTTCTGCTTGGATTTGCTAATTATATTTAGACTTAATGGTCTTTTCCAACCCAAGTGATTCCATCATTCTCAAAGTCGCACATGCTACTTGTCCTGCTTTAGGGCAAATCTGGGAGAAGACATCTGAAAGGGGACACCCCCAGAAAGCCAACCCACATGGCCTCTCCCCCCAACCGGTTTGGGAAAAATTTCCTGGGAGAGAAGTGGAAGAAACCTGTTGATTTAACAGGCAAAGCACTCCCCAGCACAAAAAATGAACACTAGCAGATGACAAAGCTCATTTGATGCTCTGAAGAGATGACAACAAGGTCAGAAAGTCTCTCCTGTGGCTGGTCGCTCTGTTATCAGTCCCTGCGGCACTTGGAAAGGCTGCTGCCCAGAGTAGGTCACCAAGTAAAAGCTCTCACTGCTCCCCGAGTCCCAGTCCGGGGCAGGTTCAAACAGGTCCAAGAAAAGGGAAAGGAAAAGCAACTGTCCAGGGAAAACTTCTCTGCCTCAGCAGCTAAACTAACTAAAAAGCAAAGAAGTGCTCTCTTCTGCTCCGTCCGTGCCCAGACAGCACAGTCCAGCGCAGAATGTGGAGGAGTGTTGCTTGTAGAGGAGTGAGTGCAGTCTCTGATAACCAACTCCGTGCTTTGTCTTCTCCTTGCCTTCACTCTCAGAACCAGTCTTGAAGGCACAGAATATAATAGCCAGCATCAACAGAACAGACCGCTGGGGATACAAGCATCAGAAAGTCACCCTGGGACACTGCTCTATTGAGAGATGTCACCAGACTATGCTAAGACCAATTTCCAGAATAATATTCAAATTCTGTAATCACAGTGGAAAGCTGAGGAGGAAACATCGTTCACTTCAGTTACCTTGTGGCATGCCAGTACTTCCTTTCAATCCCAATGTTTTTTGGTTTTAATCCCATGACATCACAGGCATAACTAAACATCTTTGGAGCAGGAAGGAAGATATTATTCTTCTCATGATACTGATGGGTAAGCTGAAATGCAAAGCTGCTTATTCAAAGTGAAGAAGCAATAAAGTCAATTGTAAAACTCACCACAGTTTTGTTTACTCCCCTAAATCCTTACTATCCCAAAAGACAAGGACAGCTGGAAACACCTTGTGGCTACTTAATTTTTTCCTATACCTACATGGTAGAGGAAGGAAAAATGATCCGAAACAATGGTAATCCACAACAAAGCATTCTTGGCATCACGTTCAGGTCCTGCATAGCAAGCTCTTCACCTGGTAAAGTTATTCCATTGCAACAGTTTGGGGAGTATCTTAGAGGGCTGGGTTTAAACCATTAAACCATCCTGATGATTCAGGAATTCAGTAGCAATGAGAAAGTTTCCAAGAAGATAGTAGTATGCATGGATTTGCATCTATGACAGACATATTTCTACAAGACAGAAGGCTGTACTACATATGGGTGAAGTGGCATCCTGTTGCCACTTTTTTTCTGGTTTTCTGTTTCTTTTGAACTGCTTTCTTACCAGATTAATGAGCTGAACTACCTCAAAAAGGAATCAGGTAAGTGCCCGATCTTTCAAAAAAAACCCAAAAAACCACAAACAACCCCCCCCCCCAAAAAAAAAATCAAATGCAAAATGGTGATCTATAAGTGCATTTGAAAATAAAAGATTTTTCCACTTTTCATAGATACATGGCGTTCTCTAGAATAATATTGCTCCAACGTTTTGTTTTGGCTTTTTAAAATTCTAAATTTTATGGATTCTTTTTGGCCATTTTAGTAATGAGATTTTTTGATCTGTTCTTTCAAGCTGAAATTGATTCTAGTAGATAGAAGCACACTGGTAGGTAAAAGTAGACTAGAAAAGAGAACATTCAGATATTCAGACTAGAAAAGACAACATTCACGTCTTCCCATGCAAGCAACTGAAGAAAGCAGGCAGGAGATTGTCAGATAACATGTTATGGGAATTGAAAAGAATCTGTCCTTATTTGAAGCAACTGAGAAACTCACACAAGGAAATACAGGTCAGACAGATGAAAGGGTCACAGATGATGTCAAATCAATACATTTAATGTTTGAATGAAACAAGATTTCTTGAAGTACAATCCTATAGAAGAAAGGTGAATTTTCAGAAGCAATTGAGCTGGGTCTGTTTAAACTCAACTGAGGATTCAGGAGGGCGATCTTGACATTAAAAGGATTTCAAAACATACAAATACCAAGCAGATCTGAAAGATGTCCCCCTAGAACAGCCGGGCTGGGAGTTGTTCACAGATGGAAGCAGTTTCATGGAGGACGGAATCAGACACGCTGGATATGCGGTAACAACATTCAGTCCAGTGGAAGAGGCAAAAGCATTGCCACCAAATACATCCGCCCAGAAGGCAGAACTGGTTGCTTTAACCAGAGCACTAGAATTAAGTGAAGGGAAAAAGGCGAACATATGGACTGATTCAAAATATGCATTTGGAGTAGTGCATGTTCATGGGGCCCTATGGAAAGAACGGGGCCTGTTTTTGTCTCAAGGGACGCACATTAAACACCAAGATGCAGTTCTGCAGCTGACAGGAGCAGTACAAAAACCTGAACAAGCGGCAATTACGCACTGTAAAGCACATCAATCAGGAAACTCCAAAATTTGTGAGGGAAATCGAAAGGCAGATTGGACAGCTCGACAGGCTGCTCGAAAGGTGCAAACAACAATGGCATTGGTCCCTTTAAAACCTAATGTATCTCAATTCCATTTACCTCCACAGCCGAAATATTCAGCAGAAGATGAGAAATTGGGGCATTTACTGAATGCACAGAAGAATCCAGAAGGCTGGTATGTAACTGCACACGGACAGATAGTGGTACCCCCCTTGGTCATGAGAGAGGTTCTACAAATTAAACATAACGGATGTCATTGGGGTGCAGAGGCATTGGTAAAATTTCTAAACCTTATTTGGTCTCAGTACAAATGTTAACAATGGCAAAATCAATAATGTCAAAGTGTGAGATTTGCTTGAAAAATAACCCAGTGGCTAGACGACAGGCACAACTAGGAAGGGTTCGGGTAGGGATAGAACCAGGAGATTATTGGCAGGTAGATTTTGTAGAATTACCAAGAACTCGAGCATACAAATAATTGTTAGCAGGGGCTGATACATTTTCTGGATGGCCAGAAGCCCTTCCCTGTCGCACGACCCAAGCAAAAGAAACAGTTAAGTGGTAACTACAAGAAATCATTCCCAGATTCGGGGTGCCTCTAGGGATATCATCAGATAGGGAACCCCATTTCATAGCCACGGTGGTAAAAGAAGTAAGTAGGTTGCTGGGAATACCTTGGGCCCTCCACACACCATGGAGACCCCAGTCAAGGGGACAGGTGGAGAGGATGAATCAGACACTAAAAAGGCAGATCAGTAAAATATGTCAAGAAGCCCAACTGCAGTGGCCACAGGCTTTACCAATAGCATGGCTGCATCCACATCCTAAATGTAACTGCAGATGTCGAATATGACATCAATCAGTTCAAACAAATAGAGCGTGAAGTACAAGAAGAGCAGAAAGATTTGACTACGAGCTGGTTAGACAAAGTCTTTAAAGGGTTAGGGTGGAATGTGAGTCCATGGATTAAGTCTACCATTGAGAGTGTAATAATCCTATTAATTGTGTTCCTAGTAATTTGGTTAGTCTACAGTGTCCTAAAAGGAGAAATACGGAAGAGGACATCCTGGAACCGGAAAATAATCAAGGCACTGACACGGGACCCACACCCGTCATCCTCTGATCCTCCAGTCCATGACAACGTTCACGTCAATCCTGGATTTGAAGAACATCATGTATAAACTTAGAAACTAAAGACTGTATCAAGTGAAAGTATTTGCACTTATGATGAAGTGAGAATACTTTCAAAGGGGGGAAAATGATAGTAAAAGGGTTTTAAAATCATGGGGATTAAGGGTTAAAAGGAAAAATAAGCTTAGTAGGCCCTGGAAAAATAAACATCCTAAGCACATGGAGAACTCGTACTTGCTAGAACTGCACTGTGTAGCTAGTACATGATAATTGATATAAGTGCCAGATGTGACGTTTGCTTAGTAATTAAATATAATTACAGTTTAATCAAAAAGAATAATCCTGAGAAACTGTGGTCAGGGACCTAAGAAAGATCACGATAAACTCATGTCAATGTATACCATAGAACAATACAAGTTTAATAATTAATGTGTAAGTTCTATAACGATAGAATATAAGATACGTTCAGCTCGAAAGCCATGTCGGAGTCAGATTTGGGTTTGTACCCCGACTCCCAGAGCTCTTAATAAAAGCACCTGCATCTAATCATATCCCGCGATTATGTGTGTTTCCGAACGCTAACAGCAGGAGACTTCGACCTAGCCAGAACCTCGGTGAGAGGTGCTGGAGCACAGAGGGAGCAAAGCCTTTGGACAGGTGTGCCAGCTCCCTCAGAGCTGCTGGTGTCAGCGAACATGCTCCTCCTTGAGGATGCAGATGGCCAGGAAATGCCCAGAATTAAAAAAGGGAATCCAGCTCCCTTCCAGAAGATTTTCCCAGAGGCAAGTGTCCCAGCATCAAGTGTCCTGGAGCTGTCAGTTCCCAGTCCATGTTTCCCAGGATGCTGTGGCGGTGCCAGAGAGGAAGATGCTCAGCACAGTGCAAGAGAAGATCCTCCAGCTGCAAAGGCAAATGTTCCCACCTCCAGAGAATTGTCTGCCATCAGCAGTGCAGGAGCAGAAAGTGGAAGATCTTGAGACTTGGCATATATCTGGCAAGGGCCTCAATCCCTCCCAGTGCCTCAGGGAGAGCTGCCGGACTGCAGAGGGAGGAAGCCCTTTGGAAAGGTGTGCCTGCTCCCTCAGAGCTGTGCGTATCAGCAGGACCTGCTCATCCCCGAAGATGCAGCTGTCCAGGAAATGCCTGGAAGTACAAAGGGGAGCCCAGCCCTCTTCAAGATGTTCCTAGAGGCATAGGCCCCAGCAGTGTCTTGGTGCCACCAGTTGTCAGCCCATGGCTTCCACAGAGCTGTGACTGTTCCAGTGGGGAACACCCCATGCTTGGCAGCAGAGGTGATCCATTGTGAAACCAAGGAAGTTCCTTCTATCAAGGGAGCTCCATGGAGATGGCCTCCGCCTTCCAGGAATTTGTTCAAGGAAGGAGGTCAGATCTTCTTAGGAATATTGGTGTTAAATAAATCAAGATTTTCCCAGAGAACGGTCTGTGTGTTCCCACTCTTCTGGGTTTGACTGGTAAAGCCAGGGAATCTCAGAAAAACGGAAAGCTGGACAAGACAAGCGCAGGTTCAAACCAATGTGGTTAATCAAGTGTTCTCCGTTTATTCAAGATAAGGTGGTAGTTTATATAAGCTTCCACATAGTTTACAAAAACAAAAACACTCTGATTGGTAGGCTAACATTGTTTACCTTTTCCTTAAAACGGCCTACACTTTACACTATAAAACCTATACTAATTCACACCCAAACAACCTAGTGGTCCCCCTCACACCTTAAGACATTTTCTATCTGCGCCACAAGCTCTGAATTTCTAACTGCGTCAGAGGCTTGAAGGCCCCACCAGGCCTCAATCTGAGGCCTAGACTGGAGTAGCTCAAATTTCACAATTCATGTCCTCTTTCTCTCAAAAATGCTGAAACAGACTGGTATTCCTTTCTTCCCAGAAACTGGCACAGTGCTGGGTTTGGATGCTGGATGGGAATGCTGTGGATCACAGGTGGAGAGTTTGGTTGTTGCTAAGCACAGCTTGTCCACCTCAAGGACTCTGCAGGGTCCCAGAAGCCACTCCATGTCCCACGCTCTGCCCGCGAGGAGGTGACAGAGAGCCTGGAGGGAGCATGTCCAGACAGCCAAGCCGGACTGCGCAGAGGGATGTTCCAGAGCACAGCGTGTCCTGCTGAGTCTGACAGCTGAGGAAGCTGGTCAGGAGAGGCTGATCACTGGTGGGATTGATGGGGCATGAGGCAGAGGGTGCTGAGCACTTTTGTTGGGCATTACTGCTCAATCCTGGGCTTTGATCCTCTGGCTCATTTCTCCCCAGCTTCTTCCTCCTTCTTGTTTGTATTCAGCTTCCTGGTTTTCTTCTCCTCCTTCTCCAGGTCTTCTTCTCAGTCTTTCTTATCTTTTTTTCCTTTGTTTGTTTTTAATTCTCTTTTTTCCCTTTTTCTTTCTTTAGCTTTTTTTTTCCTTTTTTTCCTGCCCCACTGCTGGAGGCTGAGCTCGCCAGAGTATGTCTATGCGTCCTAGAGCCCCTTTTGGCATCTGTATATCCCTGAACATCTCCATCGGATGCTGCCTTCCCCTGGGACGGTCCTTGTCTATAACAATGTGTGAAATGAAACTATAGAGATGATTTGAAAAAGGGATATTTTAATGAAAGCGTTGCCCTTATAGTTCTCATAGAGACCCCAAAAAAACCAGTTGTCTTTCAGATTCTCATGGCATTATTCAGTAAATTATATTAAATACATACACCCTAATAAATGAGCCTAGGGCGAAGCATTAATTTAGGCCACGGTGGTTATTCTACGGTAACTTCTCCTGTGCGCAGTCATCCAAGCCTCTGACTCTGGCAAAAGACTGACAGTCCAGAAGAAAGCACTCATCTTCCAACGGGAGACTTCCCACTCAGAGAAGTCTTCCCAGAAGTATTATTTCAGGTCATGTTTTCTCCAGACAAGCAGTGCTTTGTTATTTCTATTGGCTTTCCCCCCCTCCACGCAGCCCCCCGAATGAATCCGACTAGCTCAGAGATGTGGGGCTGTGAGGGGAGGAAATAGCAGGGGAGAGGGAAAGGTAATCAGAAGAGGCTCCTTACCCCAGGGTGTTGGAACAGCTCTCTTTATTCTGTGGTGTCCATGGAGAGCGGGGCAAAAGAGAGAAAGAGCAGGAAGTTTCAGGGGTCTATATAGGTTTTGGACAGGGTGGGCACTCCTGGCTCCCCGCCAACCCCATTGGGGCAGGAAGGAGGATCCAGGGGTTATCATGATCAGAGCCACAGAGGCCCTAGGAAAGGGGGGACAAAAGGGTGTCCAGGAGCTCACCGTAACACCTCCCCCTTATTTGTTAAACAAGGTTACAGGAATTCACTGGGCTCAATTCAACCCCGAATATGGGTTTCCCACCACCCCATGTTGGTGGCGTGGTCAGGCCTCCTCAGGTTAGCCAACTCTATGTGGTTGACCTCTGAGGTAGAAGGTATGAGACCCTTGATAGCTTTGAAAATCAAGTGACGCAGGATCCCGAACGCTAGGGTTACAAAGAACAGAATAACAAAGACTAACAAAATTGATCTAACTACAGATGTCCACCACCCCGTGAATCCCCATCCCTTGAACATTCTCTTCAGCATTTGCTGGATGACAACTTGCATGGGGTTCATCACCGGGTTGAGTGGGAGGTAGGTTTTCTCTAAAAGGGAAGAACAAACATTTTAAGAACATGTTAAAGCTTCTGTTTCTGCCGGAAGGAATTCCTGCCTAGGAACTTTCTTCTTCTCCCATCCGGCGGCGTCTTCTTTTTGAAGCATCAGCTACTTGCTTCTTGTCCCCTTCTGCTTGACCTGGATTCTTGGGGACAAAAGGTTTCACCCACTTCTGGGGAATCCACCGAGGGCCTGAGGGAGTAGCTACACACGCATAGCCACGACCCCAGGTCACAAGTTCATAGGGACCCTTGGTTTCCCAAGTTTCTGGATCCCTAATCAAGACCGGTGGATGCTGAGACAATTTAAACTGCTTGCCACTGTTAAAGTGACGTACAACCGGTGGACTCATATTTTCGAATGAACAATTCAGAAAATTGATAGTAAACATAGCTTTACAGAGCTTCTCTCGTGGAGACATCCACGGAGCTGAGCTGTTTTGTCTTTTCAATACCTGCTTGAGCGTCTGGTGTGCACGCTCGACTACAGCTTGACCTGTGGGGGAGTGGGCAATGCCAGTCTTATGTTCCACTCCCCACTGCTGGAGAAATTCTAGGAATTCCTTGGATACATATGCTGGGCCATTATCTGTTTTGATCGTTTTTGGCACCCCCAATACTGAAAATGCTTGTACTAGGTGTTGTTTGACATGTGCAGCCTTTTGTCCTATATGGGCAGAGGCATACACTGCACCTGAGAATGTGTCCACGCTTACATGAACGCATTCAAGGCGACCAAAACTCTGAATGTGTGTGATGTCTGTCTGCCATACCTCACAGCTGCTAAGGCCTCTGGGGTTTACCCCCATGCCCAGCGATGGCACCGCCTGGAGCTGGCAATTAGGACAGTTGGTCACAATGGCTCGGGCCTGACTCCGTGTAAGCTGGAACTGCCGAATCAAACCTGGTACATTTTGGTGGTAATGTTCGTGACTCAGCTTTGCCTGTTGGAAAACATCAGGGAGACTTGCCTTTTCAACTGGTGCAGCGAAGGAGTCTGCTTTTCGGTTCCCCTCTGCAATCTCACCTGGCAAATCAGTGTGTGACCTCACATGCATCACAAAGAATGGATGTTCTCGGTGCGAGATTAAATAAATTAGCCTTGAGAGTAACCTGAAGAGATGTTCATTTTCTATTTCTCTGAGCACAGCCTGCTCCGCCCTGGACACTATACCTGCCACATAGGCAGAGTCTGTCACCAAGTTGAACGGCTCGGAAAACCTCTCAAAAGCTCTCACCACTGCAGCCAGTTCAGCCACCTGGGGGGATCCCTCCACAAGCTCAACATCAGCTTCCCAATGCTGAGTCTGTGGATTTCTCCAAGTCATCACCGACTTGTGGGAAGCCCCAGAGGCATCAGTGAACACTGTGAGAGCTCTGAGTGCTCTCCGGCTCCTTTTCTCTTGAGGAATCAGGTGGAATTCCTCATTGAACAACTTGTGAG